CCTCCAGGCTGACTGCAGGAGGCATCAGTGAGGAAATTTGCAGACCGTAATCGCTGGGTTTGGTCCTAAATAAAAGCAGCAGAAGCTGCTGCAACCCCTTTTTTATCTAATACTTGGCAGCTTGGGGTTTTTCTCCAGGATGTGGCAGATATAGATTCCATTTCTGAATTTACCTAAAGATGTCCAAACTTCTGCTTCCTTGGGACTGCCTTGACACTCTTCTTATCAGTGATTTGATTGAATAGCTTTCAGTCTTTCCCATGGAATCTGTGCCATTATATATGAAGTATTTAAAGATGTGTTAATCTCATAAGAGCAAGACGTGCCCCACAAGTTCTCAGCTGAGAGGCAGCATACGCCGCTGAGAGCAGAGGGGGCAGAGGGCTGTCTGCCAGTCACTTCTATTAAAGTATTATTACAGCAAGGAGGTGATTTTCCTCTCAGGTGAGGACTCAGTCCCTAGACAATGGAATCATTCTGTCTTTGTCAAAGAATTTCCTCAACCAGAACTAAAGTCTGCTATTGTAGTATATTTTTCCCAGCTTCCTTTAAAAGCAATGGTCGTTTAGATGGTTTTGTAAAAGTCAGTGTCACAAGGTGGATGTAAAAATATCACTTTACGAGTTGCAATAACTGAATTCCACTAAGGAAATGTACCAAAACTTTGCAATAAATGGCCACAAAGTTATAATAAGATGAGGGATGAATCCCTCAAGGGAAAATGAGAAAAACGAAAACAGATGAAGAAGAAAATTAAGCTTATTATCTACCAAGACTCAGTGCTCCTTACCAGCATTCAGACACACATCTCCGTAAGTCTAAAAAAATCTGCAAGATCGTGAGCATGCATAAGCACTATGGATTACTGTGCACATACAGAAATGCAAACCCACATGCAAGGAAGGGTAATCAAAGACCAAAACTTTCTCATGTGTTTTTGAGAGGAAGAAAGTTTCTGATAACTTCAGGTTTCCAGTGATAATACCTATCATCTCTAAAAATCTGGACATGTACTTTAATACTTACAAGTCTGACAACCCTTTCTTATGTGATAATTTCCAGGCAAAGATCTCAGTACAAGTTTAGCCTCAAACAAAATTTACTTACCCTGATAATACAGCTATGAATTCACAAATTCTGTTCATACTTTAAAATGAGAAAACTGAATAATGAAGACTTCAAGAGACCATCTCATTGCAATTAGCAGCGCGGAAGAGAATGGAAAACTCAGTCAGAACTGAGTAGCACTTCTTTAGCACTTCACATCCTTAAAGCTAACTGTGTTGTATGTCTTTGTAGGATTAGGAACTAAACTTTTACTGTGATCTACCATGCTGAGATCTCTGTCTAGCATAGAGATGTTTAAGTAGCATTCCTCTGCTTAGAGAGGAAGAAACTCAGTCAGTCCTGCAAAATAAGTCCAAGTTTTAGTCACTCGATTAAAACCAATAGCAAAACTCTGAGTTAGTGAGGCTGTGAATTGACCCACCTATGCCATGAGCCAAAACAGTGTTGACTTTTCCCCACCATGTAACATCTACAACAGTTATTTCAGCTCTCAAAAGCATAAAATGAGTCCTATGGATAATGATTTCAACTGATCGGAAGCCAGAAAAGTGAAGATTAGCTTGTCTGCTGCTGTCTGTCCTGTCCTGATTGCAGCTTAAGGATCTAAGAGTCCAGTCCTGAAGTGGGTTTGAAGTAGAATTCAATCCCAAAACCTCCTGCTATGTTGCTACCCAATTCTGAAGGTGAGTAACTCTAGCAGCTGTCTCAATTTTTTAACTTTGATGTACCCCAGACAGTAACAGAGCAGCTTGGCCTCTCTGTCATGCTTAAGCTTGACTGCGATCCCATGAGCAGACACTCCTGTGCCTGCCTCCCTTGAGGGATTTTCTCAGGGGCAGAATAAGTCTGGCACACTTCTGTAAGATTAGTCTCCATTCAAAGAGGAATGATGTTTGCTGCTGTCCTCTAAAACTCAGCTGAGAAAGAGTTTTTGCTTCCTTTTAAACAATAGTATTTGGAAGCAGAAGACCCTTAACCTTTTGACAGACATCAGCTCCCCACTTGCCAACACTCAGGGAAATTCTTTGCCTACCCAAGCGCACATAGGAGTTGGAGGGAAATCGGAAGGAGAAATTCAATCCCTCCTGAGTGCTTTTCGGAGACAATTCAAGATTCATTGCCTTGGTGAAGCAAAGGAGCATGAACATGGCTGTGCAGTTTATTAAGTAGGGCAGTTGTTCAGGGTAGGAGAGATCAGGGATCTCCCCCATAATTATTCTAATGCTTTCTCAAATGATTGTTTAATATTAAATTCCACTCCAGATCCAAGCACATAAAATTTAGAGGTCAGAACAGTCATTGACTAAGTTTATTTTTGGAGTTAGTGCTAAATATAGTGTGTTTGCCATCTTGTTTTTGCTAGATGGAGACATTTATGTACAATAATACACTTGAAAACACAGAGTTTTGTGGGAAGGAATTGACACACTGAATACCTTGGTTTATGCTAGGTGAGAATGCCTGCTACAAATTCTGCAAGGCTTGCAAGGATGCATTTGACAGTCATCCTTATCAGCTTTTCCTCCTCATCAAATAAAATCACCCTCTGACTGGTATGATGATGATGACCTAAATTCCAGTTCTAGTGAGAGTTGTTGAAACTGAGGGAGATGGATTGAGGACTGAGAATGAGGTGTTTACAAAGAGACATCGCCTGGCAGCACACTGTACATTTTAAATATTTCTTTTTACTATGAAAACTGGCCATTCAATAGGGGTGCCCAGACAGCTTTCTGTTTTACGGGAAATCAGTTTAGGGTTGCTCATCCATATTCCAAGTGAAAAATAAAACGCTAATAAACAAGAGTGTTATATAACAAAATAAAAATAAATTCCGCTAGACCTTTTCAAAACAGAAATCTCAGCTTTTCTCACCTATTATGTAGGTTTAGTATGTTTCAGATTGATATTTTATATGTGGTGTAATAGTCCTCATTTTTCTTTAAACAGGGTTGATTTGAGGAAGGGAAGTAAGAAAGATTTTATTGCTGTCTAACTGGTATTGATTTCAGAACGGCTGAATTTACAGCAAAAGAGACTCCAGTGAAGGAATACATTTTTATTTCACATGACATATTCCCTAAGGAGAACACAGCAAAAAGAGGGCAAAGAAGGATTTGGGGAAGCTCATTAGCACAGATCATAAAAATCAAAGAAATCATAGGGAGAGAATTTAGGAAGGCTGGCATGGCCACTCCAGAGGAAGGATCAGCCATATCTGTGTCTTTCCTGACAGATGATTCTCTGAGCTGCTCTTAAAAATCTCCCATGACAGAGAGAATAAGATCTCCCTAGATGATTTGTCCTCATGCTTAAATAGCCTTATGGTCAGAAAGCTTTCACTGACATCTAACTTAAATTTCTCTGGCTTTAATTCTACAGCTGTCTTTTCCCTTTGACTTGTTTCCCACAGAGTTATGAATTCTCTGAGTTTGCTATTTGCTTGAAGTCTATTGTCTTTATTCTCCTTCCTTCCTTTCTTTAGACAAGAATGCCATTGTTCAATGCTCAGTGCCACCTTACCCTCCCTCTACTTTCACATCATCAATTCCCTGTTGCTGCCATAAACTGTAGAAGACAATTCCCGCAGCTTCCTGTCTCCAGTTTATTTCAAGAACTGGATAGTCTCTGTTCTGCTGTGTTCCTCTTTCAGCAGGTATCTGGATAACTGGCATCTCCATTACTCCCAGCTTCTGATGGTTCTTCTGGTTGCTCAGACTAAACCTTTCTTCTTGATCTTTCTGGCTTGGTAGTCTAAGGTAGAAAGAGAAACTGTGGGATACATTCATATCATTAAACTTCTCTTATCATCGTTATTCAGACACTTTCAGTCAGTCTAGTCTCTTTATCTGCT